GACGCCATGTATGGCGCCGGCTCGCCGTCCACAGCCCTCCTCAGCACCGGCGGCGGCGGCGGACAGACGGGCAGCGGACAGACGGGAACCCACCCCAAACCCGACAGGCCCCTCCCACCCGATGGTTACCCGATCCAAGGCCGGCATCTTTTGCCCAAAACAAATCCTAAACCTCAACACCGTTGTACCCATCTCTCCCATACCCCCTACCTACCGTAGTGCTCTCAAAGATCCTAACTGGTACAATGCCATGCTAGATGAATATAATGCCTTGATAGCTAATCATACATGGGATCTAGTACCCCCCTCCCCTAATCAAAATGTGATCTCCGGAAAATGGCTCTTCCGCCACAAACTTGGCCCAACAGGTGAACTATCCAGGTACAAAGCCCGATGGGTTGTTCGTGGATTCAACCAACGCCATGGCATCGACTACGACGAGACTTTCAGCCCGGTTGTCAAACCAGCCACTATACGCATCGTTCTGAGCCTAGCCGTGTCCAAAGGATGGCCGATCCACCAGTTCGACGTCAAAAATGCTTTCTTGCAGGGCTACCTCTCAGATACTGTTTACACCGCTCAGCCTTCGGGATTTCAGGACCCTGCTCGCCCACATTATGTGTGCAAATTAAATAAGGCACTCTATGGACTCAAGCAAGCCCCTCGTTCTTGGTACCAGCGATTCACGGGATTTGTTCTCTCTCTTGGCTTCAGTGGGTGCAAGAGTGATGCCTCCTTGTTTGTATACAGTCGCGGTCAGGACATGGCCCTACTTCTGCTCTATGTTGATGATATTGTCCTCACTGCATCATCCACTACCTTACTACACCAGCTCACAGAACGACTAAAAGGGGAGTTTGCTATGACAGATATGGGTGACCTTCACTTCTTTCTTGGGATCAATGTCCAGCGGACCTCTCACGGCCTATTCCTCACTCAGACTCAGTTTATCTATGACATCCTCGAGCGGGCAGGCATGACCTCGTGCAAACCCGTTTCTACACCCGTGGACACCCGCGGGAAGCTCTCAGCCACCGTTGGTCCTCCAGCGCCAGATCCCTCTCTCTATCGCTCTATTGTGGGAGCACTACAGTACCTCACCTTCACACGCCCGGATATTACCTATGCAGTACAGCAGTTATGTCTCTTTCTTCATGATCCTCGAGTGCCGCATGTCACAGCCATGAAGCGCGTCCTGCGCTATCTTCACGGTACACCTACCCATGGCATCACCATCTCACCATCTCAGATAGATCATATGCGGGCATACTCTGATGCTGACTGGGCTGGCTGCCAAGATACTCGCCGATCGACATCCGGTTACTGCATTTTTCTAGGCGACAATCTCATCTCCTGGTCGTCTAAGCGACAACTCACCACCTCTCGTTCCAGTCTTGAAGCAGAATATCGAGCTGTCGCTAATGCTGTCGCTGAAGTCTGTTGGGTGCGCAATCTTCTTCTAGAACTCCGGCAACCTCTGATGCAATCCACACTGGTCTTCTGTGATAACATCAGTGCTGTCTACCTTTCGGCCAACCCAGTTAAACATCAGCGCACAAAGCATATTGAGGTAGATATTCATTTCGTGCGAGACAGAGTAGCCCTTGGTCATATACGAGTCTTTCATGTGCCCTCTTCATCACAGTATGCTGACATTTTCACCAAGGGACTACCCTCCATGATTTTCTCCGAGTTTCGAGATTGTCTGGGCGTGCGGCAATCTTCTTTGGTGCCGTTGGGAGCATGTTAAATATATTCTTACTATATTTAATATTAATGTATATTGGTAGCTTCCATAATTGTACAGGGTGTAATTAATATTGTTTCCTATCATCATTAGGAAACTCCTGTATATAACACATGTAATCTCCCATAATAATTTATGTGAAAATATTCATTCTTCACTAATAACATTATTATTATTATTATTGTTTTATTTAAATTTGATAACTTTTTATTCAAAGAAATTTAAAAAACAAATAATGGGACAAAAGTATGAATTAGGGTATCAAAAATTTTATTATTATTACAAAAAAAGTGCAAGATTGATAATAGAAGGCGAATTATTGATAATAATAGGTGGAATATTAATATTTAAAATTTTATTACTATAATTTTAGTTAATATTAAATAATCCCTCAATTCCTATTTAATTATTCGTTTTGGTTTGGATGTCAAATGTTTGACTAACTATATAAAAAATATACAATGAATTAAAATATACAATATTTTGTAGTTTTATATTTCATTAAGCCATTTATATTCTTTCAATAATGACACTAATATAATTTTAAAACGTGAATATGAATCATGCAATGCATAAGTGTGATAGTAGTTAAATGAGATGGAAGGAGCATATTTGTCTAATTAAAAAAAAACAAAAAAATTAAAATAAGAAAATGTTTTAGAGCAGTGGAAATGGTCCTAACGCCTACCAGCGTGATGGACCTTTTCACGCCCCGGGGGCGTTAAACACCGCCTCCCGGCGGCGTTGCCCCGGCGTCACCCATTCTGCGTCATTCGTTTGACGCGGCTTCAGCGTACCTTTTAGCCGTTACCCCCTCCCCAAATTAAAAAAAATCAAAATTTAAAAAAAAATCTATAAATTCCCCTAAAAAATCGTCTTCTCACACATTTCTCTCTATCTTCTCTCTAAAATATTTATTATTTATTATAAATATTTATAAAATATATTTTAAAAATGGGATCATCAATACAACCCGGACGAGGAGGTCCCTATGTACGAAAAAATCACCAAGAAATTCGAAGCCAAGATATTCACAATGCATTAACGGCGGATTTGATCGAACATATTTTTTATGAATGTAATTTTTTTAGTGAATGTAATTATTTTTTTATGAATATAATATTTTTTTAATGAATGTAATTTTTTTAATGCACTAGTCTCATTGTGATTAATTTAAATAATAAATTAATTACATTTTATTAATTTAGTTTTAGAAGATATATATTTAAAAATATAAAAAATAAAAGTTTGAAGCCTTAGTTTGAAGCCCCGAGGCTTCAAACCCATTTCCAGTGAATGTGTGAGGCTTCAAACCCATTACCAATCCGCCACCATAATTTTCAAAATTGGTCCCCGAACTGTAAATATCTTCCGATCCGTGCCCGTTTTCAAAACCCTGACCCATCTATCCACCTATATAGTGCCCTCTTCACTTGTCGTCCAATTCCGTTCAAAAAAAAAACCTAAACGGCTAAACCCTTCATCCGCCATTTCATCTCACTTTGGGGGAGACACTGAGTTCAACGACCGATCGAAGGTTCTGCAACCCGTCTTCCCGGATCTGCGGTTCCGTACTGTTCTTCGGAGATGTCTTTGAGGCCGAACTCCAGAGCCGAGGTTCGCCGGAACCGGTATAAGGTCGCCGTGGACGCGGATGAGGGTCGCCGTAGGAGGGAGGACACCATGGTGGAGATTCGTAAGAATCGGAGGGAGGAGTCCTTGCAGAAGAAGCGCCGGGAAGGTCTTCAAGCCAACCAGCAGTTTGATCTTTCTAACCAGTCGGAAAAGAAGGTGGGTAACAGTAGAAAAATGATCTCAAATCTCATCCTTAGCGTTAGATTTCGTATCTGTATTGCGTACTTTTTCGTCGTTCATAGCAGTATAGTTTTGAGCTTGAGAGGATTGGCTAGTCATATGTGGAGTAATTGATTTGACAATTTGGTATTATCGGGGTATAAATTTGATTTTCGAAGAGAAGAGTAGATTTCTGTTTGAGTGTGCTTTCACCTTACAATTAGCAAATAAACTTACTTATTTAATACTCCGTAATTTGTCAAGGTTCTAATGTTTGCATGTTTATTTTATAGTCCATTAGCTGAATACACTAGTATTTTATTTTTAATGGCACAATCTAGTGGACGTCTTTTATTTAATTGGCATGACCTTGTAAATGTGTTTGTCCACAGCTGGATGCTCTACCATCAATGGTAGCTGGTGTTTTTACTGAGGATGGCACTGTGCAACTTGAGGCAACAACTCAGTTTCGAAAAATACTCTCAATAGGTGACTAATGTTTGATGCTTTTGGTATCATCTATCTGTTTGCCCCATTAGATTGTTTCATTTTTTTTTTGATATGGGTTGTTTTCATGCCTTGATTAGAAAGGAGTCCTCCAATTGATGAAGTCATTCAAGCGGGTGTTGTCCCTCGGTTGGTTCACTTTCTGGCAAGGGATGACTTTCCACAGCTTCAGGTATATAAATTTTCCTCTATAGTCACTCATCTTGGGTGTTTTAGTGCATGTTTTAGTGCATCCTTAATTATTCAACTAAGGATTTGTTTCTTATGTTTGGTTTGATTTCTTAAAATCACCTCAGTTTGAGGCAGCATGGGCGCTCACAAATATTGCCTCTGGAACATCTGAGCACACTAAGGTGGTTATTGATTCTGGAGCAGTCCCAATCTTCGTGAGGCTTCTTAGTTCTCCTAGTGATGATGTTCGTGAACAGGTGTGTGGCATGGAAGGGAATATATTATTTTCATATACTGATGCTCATTTTTAGCCTTGCTCATTGGTTGTGTGCTTCTTGTGATATGTTCCTGGTTCACTGATAAAATTGAGTCTGTTTGTTGGTGTGTTAAGGCTGTATGGGCTTTGGGAAATGTAGCTGGTGATTCCCCCAAATGTAGGGATCTTGTCATAGGCTTTGGTGCTCTAACTCCTTTGATGGCTCAGTTAAATGCCAATGCCAAGCTGTCTATGCTGAGAAATGCTACCTGGACACTCTCAAATTTCTGCAGGGGCAAACCACAGCCCCCATTTGAACAGGTTAATCCCTGTCATAGCTCTTTTGTTTTTCAGGCCTTTTGATACCTGGAGTAAT